ATGATTTTACTTGGTGTTGCAAGTCCTAGGCTGAGCCCTGCTGGCTTGACTAGAGGAATGACAGAAAAAGGCGATTTAGAGTTTTTAGATTGCACAGTCACTATCCTATCAGAAAAACAAAACACATGAAAGAAAAAGAAGCTATCAAGATTGTATTTTACTTGCAATAACCTAAGATTTTTATCTATTCCAACTTAAATAGATATCAGCATAGATTAATCATACAAAGTATCTTCTGTGCCTAAATCGCTAAGAAGGTACAGATGTAGGATCTTACATGCTCTGAAATGTCCTTTGGGCAGTCTAATGTCTGTATAAGAAGCCTCAATTCTCAAATCAGGTACCTGTTTTACAGACCTTAAGATTCAGAAGAGGATCCCTCAGCCTTTAATATTTCAGTGCACGAATTCCTTTATTTAAAAAAAAAACACAAAAACTTTTGGCATTCTTAAAGATGATTTGCCATAATTTTTTTCCTCTGAACTACAGAGATGTCACAGACATCAATACAAACACGCAATAAGATTCCTGTGGCTTTGTCAAAGTATGTCAAGTCAGACAAGTATTAAGAATAATGACACCATTTCTTGGATGCTAAAATATCAAACGGCCTCTTGGTGCCGTTCTTTATATTTCAAAATGTACACTGACAAAATGTTCTCTGGAACATACATGAATGTCAAAATATTTTTGCCAGGTTTTAAATATTAGTCCTAGAGTGAGATGGCTGAAGCGTAATTCTGACCCCCAAGGGCCTGTGCACATTACAGGGATCTGTTCACAGAGCCGGCACAACACGCAGCTTCTAAGCTGGAACCACAGAAGTGATCTTACCACTCTCAGGTTGTGACTCCAGAGATTTCTTGGTCATCCCAAATCTGGAGGTTTCTTAAGCAGCTAGGGAGTGTTATAGAAATATTACATGTATGTAGAAGATTGTCAAACAAAATCATAACCATCCTAAACACAAAGTTGCAACTTACCATTTGCCTTGATTTTTGTGGATTCATCTGCGCAAGCGCTTGTCAAGCAGATTCACTTTGAAGCATCACTCTCTGTACAAATATTCGCCTTAGTGCTTGGAAATTCTGTTCTATTCTTGGAAATTGCTGGGAATTTCAACCTACATGCCCAGGTAATGACGGCATGTTGAGAATTTCAAGTGCAAATAATACATAACAAGAGAGGAAGCTGGAAAACCAATACGAGTATCTCAGATAGTACATTTGAAGGTGTTGTCAAGTACCAGTTGTCCAGTTACAATTTGATAAGCCATCTCAAGGACAACAGGTGCTGTAGAAATGCAGAAGTCCCAGGCTCCACTTCCAAAATTACATTTGTGAAGGAGTCGTTGTAGAGCAAAATAATTAGAAGTCAATAAAGATTTTTATTGTTTCCTCTGTTTTTGCAAATTCTCACATTACTTGTTGTCTGTACCCAGCTTTTATAAAAGGAAGAAAGAGGACCTGGGTGCTTATGTTATTCCATTAGGCTTATTTTTTTTCACTTTTTCCTTCAAAATCTGGAGCTCCTTAGGGTCCTCTTTATTTGCAAACTTCCCCATGCATCAGTTCTTGTTCATACTGCAGAGCTTAATGAAAGTTATTTTTTTGGCATTAAAAGGACACTATCTACTTGAAAAATCAAACATGTCTGAAGCCCTTGTGCCATCTGTAGTTACATACATTTGAAGAATGGAGGCAATAGAAGGAAAACACTTTCTTGGTTCTCTTCAAGAGACAAATTTATTTTTCATAAGCAGGTTATTGTTTTAATTGAGTCAAAGAGACCAAGTTTTGCTGCAGAGATCTTCAGCTGAAGTACCACAAATCGAACTTCTCCTTTATTGTCATTTTATCTGTCAGTCAAGGGTTATCCTTTTAAAGGATTTTCTTCTCAGCAACTGAGAATCACGTAAGGAGATCAGAAGCTTACACTGCTAGCCTGTGACTACAGAAACTTGTTTTATGATTTTACACAGGTCTCTTGTGCAACATAAGGCAATTTTCCTCCTATTCTGGTTATAAAGTAGTATTTCCTGACCTCACAAGGATGTTTGGGATAAATACACTGAGCTGTTCACACACGATGATGATGGAGGCAAGACACATAACAAGTAATGAAGTTTCAATTCCGTTGGTAAGACCTTTTCAGTCTTGAGAACGTCTTGTGAACCAACATCTTGACACATGAAGTCAGTGGACACCCCACATCCTACATCACAGGCCTCTGTCTACAGCCACAGCCCTGATGAGACCGAAGACCTGCACTGCAGCTGGCCAGCTTCTCAGCTTCCCCCACACCGCACGCTGGTAAGAAGTATCATAGACTCTTAGAATGGTTTGAGTTGGAAGGGACCTTAAAGCTCATCTAATTCCAACCCCCCTGCCATCAGCAGGGACACCTCCCACTAGACCAGGTTGCTCACACTTGCTTCAACTTCCAGGGACAGGGCAACCACAACTTCTCTGGTGAGCCTGGGCCAATGTCTCACCAGTTTCACAGTGAATAATTTCTTCCTTAATAACTTCAGTCTAACCTCTTCGAGTTTCAAGCCATTCCCTCTTGTCCTACCACTCCATGCCCTTCCAAAAAGCCCCTCCCCACTCTTCCTGTAGGCCCCTAGGGCGCTACAACGTCTCCCCGGAGCCCTCTTCAGTCTAACAATCCCAAAACGCCTCAGCCCTTCCCTGCCAAGACACTTTTTTCCTCTCCTACTCTTTACCTCGCCCCCGGCAGAAGCCGGGCGGAGCCTTCCTTTCCCCTG